ATAGCAGTCTATAACGGTCAGCAGTCTTTCCCATGATTGTGATTCCTACTGAACCAGACTGAGAGACCATTTAAACGCCCAGGAACCCTTTGCAGGTGTTATGGTCTTAATTAGCTGATTAGAGTGGGACACTTTGAGCCTAGAATATTGCACCTTTTCACAATATTCTCATTTTCTGAGATTGTGGATTTGGGGTTTTCATGAGCTGTAAGCCATAATCATCACAATTATGACAAATCACGGCTTGAATTATCTTGCTTTGCATGTAATGAGTCTATCTCATATATTAGTTTCACCTTTTAAGTTGCATTAGTGAAATAAATGAACTTTTGCACGATATTCTAATTATTCGAGTTTCACCTGTATGCACTATGTACTACATATAGAGTACTCTCCAGCAATAGATTTACAGTTATCCTCGGCTAACATGAATGGGTTAAATGATCTATAGTACATAACATGTAGTTGTACTACAGATCATTTAACCTATTAATATTAGCAGAGGATAATTGTAAATCTATTGGTGCAGTGTAATGGGAATGTGTACTGTATATATGTACTACTTATACTGTAGAGTACACTGCAGCAATAGATTTACAATTCTCCCCTGCTAACATGAATGGGTTAAATGATCTATAGTACATAACATGTAGTTGTACTACAGATCATTTAACCTATTAATATTAGCAGAGGATAATTGTTCATCTATTGTCTGCAGTGTATTAGCAGTGTGTACTCTAGATGTGGTACATATAGAGTACACACTGCTAATACACTGCAGACAATAGATGAACAATTATCCTCTGCTAATATTAATAGGTTCTTATAGGAACCCCAGGCCCTCACTTACTGCTCGATGATGGCTGGTGCCTCACAATGTGCTCTGCTGGTGAGGTCGTAGTTGGCGCTGAGCGGGAGAGCAGTGGCGAGTCAGCGATGGCCATGTGAGAGGAGCTCCAGGTGGGGTCCTAATTTAGCTGGCCGGCGACAGCCCAGAGGTGCAAAGCGTGTCGGAGTCCATTGGGCAGTCCCTGACCAGCTAAATGAGGACCCCACCTGGAGCTCCTCCCACCGGACCAGCGCTGACTCGCCGCACAGCAGCCTGAAGTTAAAGAAAAAAAAATAGTGCAAACATTGGCGCTATGTATCGGGGAATTTTGACAAGTACAAGTACCTGTCAAAATGCCCTGTATCGGTCCCAATACGGATGCTAGTATCAGTATCGGGACATCCCTAACCCAATGTTTTGGTAAAATATACCAAGCATGTTAAGCCTTAAAATTGTGTTTGCCTGTTAAACTGCAAAAAACGACAATACCCAAAACTACCCATAGGAGACGCCTTAAAAGCTTTTACTGCTCATTAGTTTAGTGTTAACAGTAATTGATGGCCCTAGAATTATTGCTCTCAGTCCAACTTTCACAGCGATATGTAGCATGTGTGGTGCAATTTTTGTTTTTGCACATAGAAGCATCCAACACATGCTTGCACTTGTATGTACGTGCACGTGGGGGCAGAGGACTTAAAACATTTTTTTGTTGCGTTTTTAAAAATGTATTTATAAGTGACTTTAATTTACATTTTTTTTACATTTAACTTAATTTCTATCACATAGGGGGCCAACAAGCCCACTATGTAATAGCAAATATGATGTGACAGGTCCTTTTTATGGAGACATCAGGGCTCTGTCAAAACCCTAATGTCACCTGGGGTCCCCAAAGAAGCTAATGAAGCAGCAATCTGCTTCACCAGCTTATTCTCCTGCCTCCTGGCTTCCTCTCAGTAACTCTAACCTTGTATAGAGCTAATGAACAAGAATGAGTGTATGTGAGTAAAAGAGACTCTGGGTAAGCGTTAGGATCAGGATCTTTTCTGTGGTTGGTGGTGGCTCTTCCTACTGAGCCATCTATAACGCTGGATAGCTCCTTGCCTGATCTCTTGCTCAGTAATCAGTGATACCCAGTTTTCTGCTGAACTCTGAACTCCTTTTCCTCCCCTACACTTCTTTTTTAAGCCCAGCTTCTGCATTTGGTATTTGCCGGATTATTGTGCTCCTACCATTATCTAGCTTCCTGTTTTTACCGTTAAACTACATCCTTATACTGCTACTCATGAACCAACCCTTAGCTACTGAATCACTTACTATGCTTATCATCTTCCACTTTAACTACTTCAGGACTGCCCACCATAAAAAAGTCCTGATCCTGAAGTAGTTATACCAAGAACACAGAAGCTGCTGCAGCAGTGTTCTTGGCATCATTTTAAACATTGATGGCTGTTTAATACAAGAAATCCAGCAGCTATACAGCCGCCTGATCACTTGTACGTTGTGGCGGAATGTGTGCCCCTCTGAGCCGCCGGCTACCCTGGGCTCTGCTGTCACCCTTACGGGCCTGGCATAGGCACAGCATGTCTCCCTTCACCGATCATAGGGAGATCAGCGAGCTTCTAGCTGCCGTCTCTCCTCCTCACTGGACCCGGACGTGATGTGTATTACATCACTTCCTGTATCACTGTTTACATTCTGTGGCTCTTAGATCTCTGCTTCATCAGCTTCTTTGGGGTCCCTAGGTGACATTAGGGTTCTGAAAGATCCCTGATTACTCTATAAAGAGGACCTGTCACATTATATTTGCTATTAAATATCGGCTTGTTAGCCCCCTATGTGATAGCTATAAAGTTGACTGTAAAAAAAATGAAAAATGAAAATAACACATAAAAAATGAAAAATGTAAAACATTTTTTAAAATCCCCGCCCCCCCAAGTGCAAGCACATACAAGTGCAAACATGCGTCGGGTGTGCCTATGTGCAAAGCCAAAAATTGTGCCACACATGTTACATTTGGTCATGAATGTAACATGTGTGGCACAATTTTCGGTTGAATGAGTGAATGAGTGAGAGCAATAATTCTAGGGCCATCAATCACTGTTATGACTAAACTTATGAGTGGTAAAAACTTTTACATTGTCACCTATGGGGAATTTTGGTTATTGCAGTTTTTTCAGTTTCACTTATGAATGCAATTTTAAGACTTGACATGTTTGGTATCAAATTACCTGACGTGACCCCATCATCTGTATTTTATCCTAAAAATACTGGTTTGATAAACATTTGCGCAAATACTGTGCAACGTAAAACATTGAAACTAGCATTTTTTTTTCTACAGGGCCTCTGCTTTCAGAAAATATATAGTTGTTTGGGGGTTTAAAGCTGTTTTCTAATCAAAAATTCAGATTGTAGCATGTGTGTGCAAATAGAAATTTCTCCGGACAGCAAGTGGTTAAATCAAATTGCATTTATAATTTTTCCCCTTTCCACTGACCTATCCTAATCCATCCTCCTCTAAAAATGCATACTTACCTCAAGCCAATGGCTTGGGATTCATTGTATTGTTACATCCTGCACTGCAGATCTTCAATGCCCTAGCCACACCAGCACAATACAGCCCTATAGACTTTTATAAGACTGTCTGCAGCCTTAAGCCACAGCCCTGCTAGACCAGGGGTCAGCAGCCTTAAACACTTAAAGAGCCATTTGGACCCTTTTCCCACAGCAAAGAAAACACCGGGAGGCACAAAACCCTTTTGACATCTACAATGAAGATAACGCTGCATATATATATCGTTTTTTACCTTTATGCAATGTATAGCATGTATATAGGTATATTATGTGGGCTTAGTAAGGCGCTGGACTCTGGGCTTAGTAACGCACTGGACTCTGGGCTTAGTAACGCACTGGACTCTGGGCTTAGTAACGCACTGGACTCTGGGCTTAGTAACGCGCTGGACTCTGGGCTTAGTACCGCACTGGACTCTGGGCTTAGTAATGTACTGGACTCAGGGCTTACCTAAGACCCCTCAGAGCCCACCTGAGAATGACCCTGCAGAGCACACCATAGATCCTGCACAGCCCATCTGAGACTCTCTATAACTCCTCTTACCTGCTGCTGCTGGGGCCTGGCCTCCTCCACCCCCTCCCCTGTCACCTCTGCCATGCCGCCCCTGGTACAGCTGATACTCATGTAAGAGGCCCCCCAGGCTGCCCAGACCCCTCGCATGGGTACCGGTCGTACCCCCCTGATGGCGGTGTTCTATCAAAGTTTGTGACTAGGATACAATGTGTGACCGGTGACGTGGTCACACATTTCAACGCTTTCTCAGCTGTTCCAGGGCAGATCAGCAACGCAAATCGTATGTGCAGAGCAACTGATCTTCCCTGGAACAGCTGTTCGGTCCTGAAATGTCACTTCTATCCGACTCTGTGAGTGTGATCTCACATTCCACCCCACTCACAGTCGGATAGAAGTAACCTTTCAGGACCGAACAGCTGTTCTAGGACTAAACACCTGGACAGGGAGCCGCAGCTGAGGGATGAAAGAGCCACATGCGGCTCCGGAGCCGCAGGTTGCTGACCCCTGCCCTAGACAAAGTTCACAGATAGCTATGCGGCACTAATATGCAGACATTGCCAGGACAAATGAAGACTGGCCCAGCTGACTGTAAATGAACAGCGGATCCACAGCGATTGGATTGATATAAGTATGCATAAAAGGGCAAAAAGTTAACTTTTTTATAGGTTGGACTTGATGGACATGTGTCTTTATTCAACCTCAAATACTATGTAACTATGTAACTTTGCTTTAAAGTGATTTTTCATTCAATGAATTCAATTCAATTTCTAGGCTAATATATAGACAAAAAAGGTTGAGTTACCAAGAATACTAACAATACAAGACTATAATTGTGTGTCATTTTATGAGAAAATGTATTAAAATTAGAATATTTTATATCATTCTTCCTGCCAGTATCGATTTTCTTGTGTTCAGCTCAGGTTTAAAAAGTAGAATATACAATTTTGGAAAAAATATACAGACTAATATTCCAGCACTAGAGGTCAGTATAGCGAATATCTCCACTGCTACTGTATACTTTCCTCTGGTACTCAGATAAGCTGGGATCATGGCAATCCAGACACTGCAGAAGACCAGCATGCTGAAGGTGATGTACTTGGCCTCATTAAAACTGTCCGGTAATGTCCTCACCATGAATGCCAGAACAAAGCTCACTGCTGCCAGGAGCCCCATATACCCCAACATAGAGTAGAACCCGATAGTTGACCCTTCATTACATTGAATGATGATCTTCCCAGGATAAGAGTGCCTGTCATACTCTTGAGATGGTGGAGAGATGGACAACCAGAAAACACCATTCATAACCTGAATTAATGAGCAGAACAATAGGACTGTATTGGGAAGTTTGACTCCCACCCATTTCCTATAGGAGCTTCCAGGTCTGGTGGCTTTAAAAGCAATAAAAACCATGATGGTTTTGGCTAGGATAGAAGACAATGAGACTGTGAAGACAATTCCAAAGAAGACTTGTTGCAGCACACAAGTTATATCCACTGGATGACCAAGGAACAGGAAAACAGAAAGGAAACTCAGCATGAGAGAGAAGAGAAGAATGAAGCTGAGGTTCCTGTTATTGGCTATGACTATGGGAGTGCTCCGAAACCCCAAAAATATTCCAAGTATACAGAGAGATGTAGCAGAAAATATGACTGAAGATGCAGAAAAAAAAGCAACCATTAAGTCCTTCTCATATGACAAATACTCATAAAGTTTGTCAACACAAATATTTCTAGCCTCATTAGGCCACTTATCTTCAGGACACATCTGGCAGATTTCACTATCTGTAGAAGAAAAATATATTGAGAAATGTGCATAGTGTACAATGAATGCTGACACCAACCTGAGTTTATTGGAGCTTAGAAGCCAAGACCTGGTTTACCAATGTTGGTATGCATCAGTTAACTTGACAATACCTCTATGATTCATCTCTGCAATTGTCAGTGGGCATATAAACTCGAAACACAAACATTCTGTATGTGTGTAGCCCCTGCGACTCATTGGAGTGGGGCAGCCAATAGAGGAACATCTTGATTGTCTATGCCTCACCAGCCAATTACTGGGAATTTTACGGCCAGTGGCAGTCCATAAATACTCGGGGTATTGCCATGTGCTCCATTCCAGGATGCTCAGAAATGGAAATGCTGTCTAGGCCTCAAGCCTGGAGGAAACCACATGTGGAGCCTGAAGGAGTCTGGAACTGATTGAGGAAGAGAGCAAGAAAAGGCTTAAGAGTACTGCCAGGTGCAGAAATGGACCTCAGGAACAAGTCTGGTGTCTCTCCTATGGAAGATGCCTATCCCTATTCAGCTGTTGCTCTATTGCCCAGTGTTTACACCAGCTCAGTCCGTTCCAGACCAGAACTGAAAAATACTGCATGTCTCATTTTGTCGGGTCTGGAATGCACTGGAACTGCGGGCAGGTTCACTCCATTTTCTGGACCAGATCTGATCCAGAAAATGGTGTGAACCTGCCCTAAATCAGCACATCTTAGAGTGATAAAATGCTTCACATGTTAAAGGGGGACTAGAGCTCCCCCAAATGGCTGCATAGAAGACTATATAACATTGACCAGTTAAGAAGACATTGTCACATCTCTGCAAATAACAAGGCCAGTTCCCTACAAGAGAGGATGTAGGATACTACCCTCTCTAGTGACCAATTATGCCTAGTGTCCCTCTATTCAAGCACTGCAGCCTCCTTCAGCCTCTTGAAAGTTGAACACTTTCAGGAATGTCACATAGATAAGTCTCTCAGCACTCACTACTGTTTCATCCTCAAAACCCCTATGTTCTACAGGATCCAACAGTAACATAGGGATTGGAGAGATATATCAGAATGCAGTTGGGAAAAAGGCATCCAACATTTCTAAATAGTGTCCAGTGCCTAGGAGACTGATAGAGGCTGTAGTGCTGGAACAGAGGGAACATAGGGGAGGTATGAGTCATGGGCCACCAGGCATGTGCATATACTACCTCTTCTCCTGAAAGGAACTGGCCTACATGACATGCCAAGGTCTCCTTAATCCATTTGCACTGTACACATATGCCATGCTGTCACATATGTGTCGCTGTTCAGTATCAGGAGCATGCTCAATCATGCACCTACAGCATGGTAAAAAATTATGTCACTGACTGCTCCCAGTCATGGAGTACAATAGAAAGCTGGTAGGGCAAGTCACAGATCATGTGATCATGTGATAGCCAATCCCATAACTGAGAAGCTCATGCAACACTTCAGGCTCAGGTTTATTTTGCCTTCAGCTTTAAGTGTTTACTGATTTAGGATGTACCTAACATGTTCTAGAGTCCATTCATGCTTAGTCCATGAACACAGGTGCAGCTGCTGGGACTTGCCATTGAAATAATATTTATTAATTTTGACATCCACAAAACATTAATTGCAAGTAATTATTATAGATAATGTGTTTTAAAACACAGAGAATAAATAACCATCTGTGAGTGTTTGGTAAATATCACATTTGTGGCATTATAAATATGCCCATGAAACAATTTAAATGCATTAATTGAATTTGTCAATAACCTCTCCATGCTTTGTACCATAAATAATATATTTGTGTCAATATAACAGGGGGAAGCTGCAGAATAAATTAGCAATTCATATCTATAGCAACACTTTCAGAGCTATTCACAAAAGAGTGAAGAGTTTGGAGGAGGCAGGAGAAGAGAAGAATCTAGGACAACATAGCTGATTTGGAAAAATTCTCCAATTCAGCTCACTTTCCAGTTCAGCTATTTTGACCTAGACTGTTCACTTCTCCTGCCTTCTCCAAACTCTTCACCCTTTTGTGACTAGCCCTTCTAACTTTAAAATTATCACTGGTCATACTAGAAGAAAAGAAAATGTCTTATTTATTTTAAATATTTGAAACTCTAATACATCCCCTTTAAGGTTTAAAGAAACATTAAAATTACCAGAATGTGTTGATATTTCTCCCTCTGAACATGGAGCACAGTCATAACAACATACGTGATACCCTTCCCTTAGAGCTTTTCTAAACCCTGGAAGACATTCTGCAGAACATCGTCCTCTTGGGGCCTAAGATAAAAAAGAATATAAATCATTACAACTAATAAAATACTATTAAAATTTAAATGGACTTATGGAAACATAAACACTTAGTAGGTATGGGTTTCCCTAAGTGGTTTCACCCCTCTTCCTATCTACCCTGGCTCGCAATAGAACGTGATCTCATACCCAACAATGACCTCACTTCCTGGCTTATTGCATATACGTTGAAGAAAAAACTGAAGCCACCTGATTACCCAACTATTATTTCTGCCATGTGGGTTTGGTTTTCCTTGACTCATAATGCATCTTCCACAGCTTCTTCATTAAAAATCCCTATACCTCTTCGCTCCTTTGAATTACTTATTCCTTATTTGGACACAGCTACATGGCGTTCCAGGCGCTTTATTTATTTACCTCCTCCTGATTGTTTAGACTCTTATTTTGATGAATACAAATATCTCCAGATCTCCCACCTCCTCAGTTCCCTTCAGTTTAAGCCAGCTTTGATTTCAAATCAGGCATGGGAATTTTTACAATGAAATATAATGGAAAAAGGGGGGCATGTCCAAATGTTATTATACTTTACAAGACAAAAATATATTTACTAAACTAACTCATATGTGGCAAATGGGAGGCAGAGTTTTCTATTAGACATGTGCAATTCATTCCGGAATGATTTGTTATTCGGAGGAATTTTCGGAAATTCGTACATTCAGATGCAAAATAATTTCCGAATGACAGATATAACGAATGGAAACAAATATGAATTTCCAATAACTAAAATTTCGGATGCATCTGAATTTCTTTCCCAAATTAACGGGTCTATTCACTAAGCTAGGCAGCCGAGTGAATGACCGACCTGAAGTGAAGTGAGCCGAACACTGGCAATAGCCAATAGTAAACTAGCATTGTACCCGCCCTCTGCTGATGGACCTGATAGAGAACTGTAATAGATGGCGGGTACAATGCTAGTTTACTATTGGCTATTGCAATTTGCAAAAGCCAATAGGAATCTAGCAATGCATTCCTATGGGCAATTTTTTTTTTTTCTATTCTGACACGGCTCCGAAACAGCAGTGTTTCTCTCCTTGGCGACCGGGAGCGGTAGACTCCTGGAGCGCCACGGAGAGTTTGCTGTTTGGAGATCAGTGTCCTGGTTAGCAGGTAACCAGGGACGCTGATCTCTCTGCAAGTGGCCGGAGCCAGCCGTAAGATCAGGGCTGGCTCTGCCCAGCTGTCAGAAGCAGGCTGTCGGCCAGCCGATGGCCGGCCGCTCGGCCAGCTTCGGCTTTCCGCTCGGCATGTTTTACTGTGCATTCAATTTGAAAAAAAAAAATCCGGATTTTCGTTATCGGTAACTTGTATGCATTTTCATTAGGAATACATTTTTGTTGCAGTAAAGTGACATAAGACAAAAGGAAAAACAAGTACTTTTTTTTACAGTCTGCAGAAGAAAAAAAAAGTGTGAGGTCCCCTCCAAATGATACCAGACCCTTTAGCTATGGTAGGAATGTTACGAGGGACCCCCCAGTTAAAAAAAAAAAGTGCACGGGGTTCCCCCCAAAAGTCATACCAGGCCCTTTGGTCCGGTAGGAATGTTAAGGGGTAACCCCACCCCCAAAAATGGAGAACAAAACATATGGTCCCCCTAAAATTCCTACCAGACCCTTGATCAAAACACCAGCCCAGCAGGGCAGGAAAAGGGGGGCGGTTGAGCACCATATCGATTGAGCACCATCCCTGCACCACACCAGGCCCATGCCATCTGCATTTGCAGGGTGTCCCCATGCTGATGGGGACAAGTGCCTCTTATCCACAACCCTTAATCGGTGATTGTGGGGGTCTGTGAGCAGAGGGGCGTATTTGCATTGGGGTACCCCTTTAAGTAAGTGGGCACCCAGATGCCACCCCCGTGTTTGAATGAGTATGGGGTACCTGTACCCCTACTCATTTACTAAAGGGTTAAAAGTAAATGAACACATCGCACATTTTTTTTTTTAAGCAAGTATGTCTTTATTGATTTTGAATCACATAAGAAACATGGCATTGGATGCATTACGAACAGTAAGGTTTGTTAGAAAGGCAAGTACAAGCTATGGTACAAGCCATGGACATGCAAGTAATGCATTGGAATCATTATAACAGATAATAACATAACATATAGCATGGAATAATAATACAATCTCTAATTCTGTATGCATTGAACAGTAATAAAGTCGTGGAAGTAGGATGGGGAAGGGAGATGGGGTGATGGGGGAAGGAAATAGGACAACCCCCAATTTGTTGTCTATACCAGGCCTTCTTAATCTTTCTACACTCGTGACCCCTTTTTGGCCGAGGAAATTGTTAAGGGACCCCAGCGTCGGACGATGTCTCTCCCCTCTTTACCCCCAACGTTGGTCGGTGTCTCCTCTTTCCCCTAACGTCGGTCGGTGTCTCCTCTTTCCCCAACGTCGGTTGGTGTCTCCTCTTTCCCCCAACGTCGGTCGGTGTCTCCTCTTTCCCCCAACACCATTTCTGATGACATCTGGGGGTTGCAGGAGAGGCTGTGGCAGAAGGGGAAGGAGGAGAGGAGGGAAGGAGAGGAGAAGGGGGGAAAAGAGAAATTAGTGGTTAGATAGTAGTAACTGTTAGATACTCTGACAACTCGTATAAAAGAGATTCCTAATAATGGGTTATTAATGTATGAGATGCACTGCAAGGGGGACATTCTAGCGGAGGGGACTTCACTTGGTTGTGGGTCGCACAATTT